GCAGTCTGTGCGTGCAGCAGAAGCAGCTGTTGTGCTGTGACCTCAGGATATAGCAGAATAGGATTGGGACAGGCTTAATGATCACAGATTAGATGAAGTTGTGTAAAGGATTCCTTATGCCTGGGTGTTCCTGAGGGTTTGGTACTCTCTCACTTGTGCTCTCAATGTGTTACATAACAAGAACAGGAGAGCCCTATCTTAACTTACACAGGAGACCCCCCACTGTGGTACCTTGTGCCAAGTCTAGAGGGCAGAGCTAAGATTTTCATGGAGTTGATGAGTATTTTAATAACAATACTGTTCAGGTTCTGGTTTTTTTCCCCGAGAAGATCAGCTGGGATGCAGTGAAGGTTCTAGAAGAGAGCAACCCATCAAAACACACCTCTGTAGCTTAATACTAAATTATTATTTCATAACTTTAATTGACCTAGAAATGCTAATTTAATATACAGTGTGTCATGGTATACATAAGGTAGTGTTTTGACAGACGGGTTCTGGAAAATCTAGTTGTAGCAGCTTCATTGAGTATATCCAGCTATGTTCCTCTGTCAGAGGTTATTAACCCCCCAGCAGAATTAATCATTGCAGGATGAAGGTCTACACTTCAACACAAAGTACTTAAGGGCAAGGCTTGTACCTAGTCTTATGCCACTAATAAGCAGCATGTTTTAAAGCATATGCTTTTGCTCTCAAGTGTTAAAGTGGATTACTTGAAATGTGATTTCTAAACTCATGGGAATATGTGTGGTGTGCTCTCTGAAGTGTTTCATTTCATTTATTTTTACTCTCCCTACCGCTCCTGTAATTAGTATCCTCAGACAAATAAAGTTCTCTTATTTACCCTAAACACTGAAATTCTGTCACAGCTTCCTGCTTAGTGTCTTCTGCTGGATTACAGGTGCGTTCTTCGCTCTTCCATTTTAATTACTGGATTTTGGTGTGGGTTTTTTTGTGGGCTTTTAGGTTTTGCCCTGCAGGAGCTAGGGCTCCCTCATTATTGGGGATTTTTTTTTTCCTTTAGAAGTCAGGGCTGTCAAGTTTTCCTTGTTAGTCTGTTCAAAAGCCTTACTAAAATACAGTTTGTATTTCACTCTGTTGTTGCTCTTCCCAGCTTCTCCACTAAGTACTGCCACACCAAAACATTAGGCTACTGGTATTTAGAAATATGCAGAAAGAAATCTTCACTTGTATTTTTGTGTTTTCCATGTTGCCTTAACACTTTCAGAAGCTGGATTTTGAAGTTCAATAAGGGTATTGCTCTGATACCAGAGCTGTGATATTTGTGACACCAAAATTACTCAGGTTCAGACATGTTACAGTTCTGGTAAAAATACTTTTTATTTTGCTCATGATCAACTCAGCTACTGAACTGCTAAAAAAAGATAAAGATAGAAATGCGTTGCTGAAAAATCTTTTGTCATTGGTTATACCAGAAGCAAGGCTGTCTAAATGAACAAGGTTTTCTTTTCCCTGTCTTCTGTTGAGACCTCTGTAGAGGTAGTTGCATGACTAACTGCAGTGGAGAGAAGATGGAGAAAAGGGTTAGAGAGGCTGAAAAGTTCGGGAAGGAGAAGGAGAGAAGGGTGTAGTTGAGGGTGGATAAATCTGAAAGCAATTAGAGGAAGGACCAAAGTCATGTAGGCATAATAAGATGGAAGGGAGTGAGACAAGTGGCTCTTTGGATGGGGCATTTTTAACATCCAAGGTGAGACTGCAGAGCTCAAGCTGATAAACTCTGCTGGACAGCTTAAACTTTATGCTGCTTCTAGTAGCAGGAGGAGGAAAAAGTGATGAAAGATGCTGGCAGCAGAGGATTAACACAAGAGGTGAGTAGTTAGTGTCTCTGGATGAAGATGGGGCAATGATTTCCCTCTGGGAGTGGAGAGAGATGTATATATAGGGAGAGGAGCAGCTCTGAGACCTGATTGTTAAAAAGGAGGCTGTGATTGCCAGTGGTGTATATGCAGGGAAGTCAAATGCAGTTTAAAATCACTAAAGGATGTCTCTTCATGGAGTCTAGAGTAAGAACTACAGTTCTCGGACTTCATAACTTCTCCTGCCATAGGATGTCTCCGAGACCTCTCATCCCCTTCTTAGTGAATAGTCCCCAGAGGGAATGGTGCTCTGCTCTGTCTGCTTTAGGGATAAAGTGTTGTGTTGTGAACTTACAGATTTGAGTCCAGCTGCTCCCCATATTGTGCTAGCTGAAATTCACTTTTTACTTTTTCTGTATTTTTTTTGCCTTTTCCAAAAAATATTTTTAAGCACAGATCTAAAATATTCAACTCAGGAAGTCAGAAACTCATAGAACAGATAGTGTGAGCAAAATGTAAAAGCATTATAATATGATCAGTCTGTTTTTTGTTGTGTGGCTTGAAGTGTTCTTTCATTCACAGATGTCACTCGATGTAGAAATAATCAAATAATAGTCTCGGAATCACAGTGTGTAGAGTTGCTTTGGCATACTTTTCATCATACCTTATTCATGGACAGCCATGTGTTACATGTGGTGCAGGAACTTGGCTTTCAGCTATGCAGTTTGTGTAGGTTGTGTCCTTATTTATCGCATGACCTTGCACTATCACTGTAAGCTCTCGTGACTTCAGGGCTTAATTATTGTAATTCCCTTTTCAGTGGATTAGTGATGAGGCTAATCTGCTGTTTGCAGCTTGTTCAGACTGCAGCAGTGTACTGTTTCCTGGGTTTCAACTACCCTCATCACATCCAGCTTGCTTTGTGTTTTTAACATTAGCTACTTCCTACATGGTGTATTGTTTAAATCAGCTTTATGAATAAAGGTCTGAATGGGAATGCCTAGTTACATTTCAGGATTCTTCCCCCCCCCCCGTTAACCTGAGCTAATTTTTCAGGGTTTTCTGCAAGACTTAGAAAAGGTTTCAGTCTGGATTAAATCATCTGGATGCAGAAGTCTCTGTATAGGTGTCTATGTCAAGTAGGTCTTAAGCATTCATTGAAATTGAAAGAACATAGAGAATGATGCAGGTGACTAGCCATTAAGTTTGTGAGAAATAAATGGCTGGTGTTACTTGCGAAGCACTTGGCCATCCTACACATCTCCTTGGGACTAGTAGATACATGATCTTTGAGACACCCAGTCCTTTTGGACTGGCACCTGGAAGTCAGGTGGGATGTTCTAGAGTTTATTAAATAGCAGTATGGTATCAAGCCCTAAGTATTTACTTTGAAATAAGGTTGTTTTCTATGCTCTGTATCCTGCTCACTAGATCTCCATTGGCTTTACTGAGACTTTGGGTACAATCTCGTATGTCACCATCTTCATTTAGGTGTCCTGTTTAGGACCTGAATCTTACCTATGACGTCTTTCTCCTGTGTGATTTTTAATAGTGCCCTAAACCTTGGCTTGACAGACTGCGTGTTCTAATTAAAACTTCATTAATCTTAAATCCCTGGGATGCTGGAGGTTTTTTTGTTCCAGGGCATTAAACTCTTCCAAAACTCAGTGTTTTTTAAATGCAGCCATTCTTTATGGCATTAAACTTCAGCAGTTTACAGTGATAGCTTTGCTTATATTTTGTCTCCTGGAACTCCAAATAATCTGTGTTGCTCTCCCATGCCTTAAAGAAAAAAAGGTGTATTTGCATAATATATTTTGTCAATTTAAAGGAAAACTTGTATGCATCTAAATGTTTTAGTTACATAAAAATTGGGTAGACATTACTTGCTAAGAATCACATCTGTTTATTTCTGTTTGAAGTCTCTCTGTCTTTGTCAAGTTTCTAAGAATAGTTGTTATGTTTGCCAAGAATTTCCCTACTGTTAGTGGGTTGGGAAAGTATTTTCTAACTTCTTTTTTTCTTTGTCTGAATAACTTCGATTTAAACTTGTAATTTAAACCTTTAGATACTCTGAGTTCTCTTAGCCCCCTACTCCCATAGTCCATGCAGTTAGCTCAAGCACAGGATATTGTTTGAGGATTGGCTTTGAGTTGACATATATTTGAAACCTTTGAATGTTTTTCTGACTGATTAAATATATGAAATCCAGGAGTACACGGATTTAGGTTTAGTATGTCCACTGCATTTGTCACCAGCCTCGTGGTATTTACCCAGTAATAATTTTAGCCTGCTGGATTAAAATAATAACTTCTGAATATATCCTGTATACTACATACCAGGCACTTCTCACCGTAACTGTTGGACAGCAGCTGTCTTCAGGAATAAAGAAGTTCCCAGTCCCCACACCTTGCAGTGGTTTAGCCCCAAGGACATAGGCAGTGCATGTGGTCAGGGTACTTGAGTGACTTTCCAGAATCACTGGGAGCACCAGGACATCCCACAAGGCCATTTAAACTGTTAGTTTCCCTGTTTTCCAACCCAAGTTGTATGCCTGCAGGATGGAAGGAGAGGACAAAGAACTTCTTGTGTTTTGCTAGTGCTTAGAAGTGCTGAAGCATGGGTTTGACAAAAGGGCAGAAAACAGACAAAATGCCTAGATCATTCAAAAATGTTCTTAACAGGACTTCTAAAAAATAGGGCTTATTTCACTTTTGTTGTTGAGCTTGATTCTGCTATATTTGTCATGTTTTCCTGTCTCTGTACTGAGTCCAGGGAAAGTGGAGAAAATGAGCGCATGCGTAGACTTAATGTCTTTCAAATTTTGATGTAACTTCATGTGATCTTTCTTTTAACATAGCTGTTTGGATGGAATTCCTTGCTAGTGTTGGATAGTAAAACTACTAAGAAAATGGATGTTTGTTTAGTTTCTGTACAGCTTTTCTCCACCTTGTTTTTCCTTCATAGGCTGGGATGGTGGGAGTGAATATGAGAATAGTTTGGGTTAAATGTAAGCTTATATCTGAGATGTAGTGCTGTAGTTTGTATGCTCTGTTTGAGTTACCCTTTGCTGGTTTAAATGTGATAAAGGTTATTTTGTTAAATTACATGCTGCAGTAAATGGTAGAGCTTTTCTTTAAGCCTGTGCTAGAAATGATGCCAAATGGAAAAATGTCTTTGTATCAGATATGATTATATGAAGACACATCCTTCTGAGAAGATGCATCTAGCAGTGGTTGCCTGTGGTGAAAGGCTGGAGGAGACTGTTACTATGTTGAGATCAGCCATTATTTTCAGCATCAAACCTCTCCAGTTTCATATTTTTGCTGAGGACCAGTTGCATGAGAGATTCAAAGACATAGTAAGTACCCAAATAATTTATTTAATCAATTTGTAGTACAATTTGAGTAATATATAACAATTTCTCTGCTTCTTGGGCAGTAGTTGTTGAATATAGTGTCAGAAATGCAGAGGTCTGTAAATAAGGTAATATGCGAGTCCTTTGTAATGTTGGATGGGGATTTTTGAATCTTCTTTTCCTGCATAAAAATGCCAGTTGCTGCTGATATCAAAACTTCATGTAGAGACAGACCAAAACCTCATTTGTAACCTTGAATCTGTTAAATACAAACCCAGTGTTCTAAACATGAACTAGTTATCTTGTGTGAGCTTCTTTAAAGTTGGTTTTACAAGAGAAAATGGAGTGCTTACTGTATGAGTCAGCCTCACATTGCCTAAACAAAGTGAAACATTGGTCTTTGAAAATGGTAGATATGGTTATGTCTAATTTTAGTAAATTCCAGTTAATGAATATAACTTTATGACTGGAGAAGCAGTATTTGAAGCTGACTAATACATAGTTGTGGAGGGGTTTACTATTTTTGTGCTGAAAATGTCATACTGTTACGTTAGTATATTATACATACTGATATATGCACGCTAATGTCATGTGACAAAAGTTGGGTAAGGTTATTTTAAACTGAGAAAGACTTTGTTGGTATTTCTCCTGTAAAAACTAGTTAAGAGGGCAAAAAGTTCGATGTATCTGTTTTTGTAAATACTAATTTATTTTACTTGCTCTTACTTCTGTATATGATCTGAAATAAGTTTTCTTCGTAGTGGCCTGCAGGTGCCACTTTCTGTTCAAGTATTTTGAATAGTTGACAGGATCTTGTAGTTCAGGAAGCATTTCTGATATGGAAGAGAGGTTCAATTATCAATTTGAATGGGGGGATTGATTTCTTTTTTGTAATGTAATTGAACTGAAGTAATTTTTATGATCTTTTCCTTTCACATAGCTTGATGACTTCCCCTATGAAGGAAAAGTTAATTACACATTATATCCAATAACATTTCCAACTGAGAGTGCAGCAGAATGGAAGAAATTATTTAAGCCATGTGCTTCACAAAGGCTATTCTTGCCAGTAAGTTATTCTGTAAAAGAACAATACAGAAGTCTCTCTATGAAGCATCAAGCTGTCTTGTTAATCTAATTTCTGCTTAGTTTTAAATTAAGGACTATTACTCCTCCTAAAAGTTACTTCTATGACATCCTGAAAAAAACCTCTGAATTTAAACTTCTTCCGTAGCACTAATACATTATAGAATAAAAGTCCTTTTCTCATTTACTGCATTATGGCACAGTATCCTGAGTGAGAGGTGCAGGTCATGTCATCCTCTCAGAGGTAAGAAGGATTTATCACACCTAATTCCCTGCATGCATGGGTCTGAGAAGTGTTAGAATGAAACAAGGAATGGGCTATTGCTGACAGTGTTTTGTGCAGCCTTTTCTTTGGTCACCTAAGATACTTCAGAAACCATACTTAAGGCTAGCCGAACTATGACAGTGTCAACTATCTGCCAAATATTGCCTCATCTGAAGCTCCCTTACACCTCTTGCTTGTTTGATTAGAAAGCGAGGGAACAGGAGGAAAGTAGGAGCACCTGCTATGGTAATTTTTCACCTGGCCTGCCACTTACTTTTGAGGAGCCCCGGGGTATAAAACTCTACACTCTACAAAAATATTCCAAAACGAGAAAAGAGGGAATGATGACAAACTTATTGACTGCAAACCATCAGTCTAAAGTGAATTTATGTGCATATGACAACTGTATCAAGCTTCATTGTATAATGGCAGCAACTTCTGCTTTATGAAGATAAACTCAGTAAAACTTAAAAGTTTGGTTTTAAATTTCCTTGCCTCACAGTTAATCCTCAAAAATGTGGATTCGCTACTGTATGTTGATACTGACATCCTGTTTTTGAGACCTGTTGATGATATTTGGTCTTTCCTGGGAAAGTTCAACTCCACACAAATTGCTGCAATGGCACCGGAACATGAAGAACCTCGTATCGGGTGGTATAATCGCTTTGCTAGACATCCCTACTATGGAGTAACTGGAATAAATTCTGGAGTCATGTTAATGAATATGACACGTATCAGAAGGAAGTATTTCAAGGTATGCATGTTGCCTTTATTGCATTTTCCATGGGTTTACATCTTTTAATTCTGATTCTGTTTCAAATTCATGGGAGACAGCATTTTTCAAACTATTGTTCTTGTAATTGGAATAATGCTCTAAAAATACACTGTGTTTAAAATGGTATCTAACTTGTGGTTTTTAAATGTCATTCACCGTAGGACTTGGAATTCCTGTATTTCAAGTGTGTTTGTTTAAATTTTTCTCGGATCTGAGAGATCCTGTGACTTTTATACAGTGACTTTTATACAGTTTACTGACAAATACATTTGTCAGTAGATATTCTGGTATTTTTTCTTCACTGTAGAGATCCCAGAGAACAGGTAACATATGCTGTAACTACCTTTAAAAATGAACGTAGTAGTATGACCAGGAGGTGGTGCTAGAACATTTAGTAAGCTATTTTAACTGCGGTTTCCAAATTTTGATCTTTTATATTGTAAGCCAGATTATCACCTTAAGACTTTTCTGATTTTCTTTGAAGTCATAGTTTTTGTAGAGAAATAAGTTCATCATGAACATACTTACTAAAACAGTGCATGCAGCAGCAGAAATGGCCATTCTTTCACAAATCGGAAGCTTTTTCTTCCTTACTTGAAGCACAAGTAGCAAAGCAGTGCTATGTGGTTATGCTAGGGAAAAAAGTACTTCTTTGTTTAAGAGAAGTTTGATTAGGGGAAAGTAATCATGCAGTCTGAAACTGTTGGAAGGTACACCCTTAAGAGAGGCAATATAAACTCAGAATCATGGAATGGTTTGGGTTAGAAAGGACCTTAAGATCATCTAGTTCCAACCCCCCTGCCATGGGCCAGGACACCTTCCGCTAGACCATGTCACCCAAGACCCTGGCCAGCCTGGCCTTTTGAACACTGCCAGGGATGATAAACTTGCAGTAGACATTGCTTCTCTGTGATTTCCAAGTTAAGAAACATTTAGCTTTTATCTTAACATTCTTGATACGTGTTTTTGTTATGGAAATACAGACAATATAAGATAAATGGAGAACGGATTATCTCAGTTGTAGTTAAAGTAGGAAGTTCTGGTATTTATAGTGTAGCTGTAGTTTTCCCAAGAAGAAAGCTTGTCTGTGTATATCATCAGTGGAATCTTGTCTGTTTTGTTATTTGTTTATTTTCCTACTTATAGTATTTGGAGAAATGAAAATATTGAAAAGCATAATGAGAAAAATATGGAACTGAAAGCGGTGTATCTTAACCTCTGACAATGCATTTCTGTGTAATAAATTTTTCAGTGTGGTAAACTCTGAGATAAGGTAGGTCTTTTATTGATACTATTTCAGAATTCTGGTTGGGCTTCTCAGTACAACTGAAGTTACCAACTTGTTGGAAACTTTATGCAGTTCTACCAAAATTGGAGTTAAAATTTTTGACAGTATATAGATAAAGTAGGATACTAAAATTGTCTTCCAAATTAACTGCAGTTTTCTGCAGTTAACTAGAGGAAAATATGAAGTAATTTCTCTTAAACACCTATAACTGGTGGTTTCTTATAATTTAAGTTTATATATACAGATTTAAGTAGGTGAAATAATTCATGAGTATTCAGAAATGCAGAATGGAATTTTTCTGCTTTTTGTTGGTATTAGAAAGCTGGAGCATTTTCTAGGTGCTGAAAATATCTGCTCCATATTCCTGTTGTTGCCATGTTGTATATTTATTATACAATGAAATATGTCAGACTGCTAAACCAAATCCAGCCTTGGAGGAAGTAATTTTTTAAATAATTGCTCTTTATTATGGGGGTGAATAGTTGTGATTTATAAGACCTCAGCTGTAAGGCAAGGCATAAATCCATATGCTTTTCTTAGGATCCTGCTGGCAAACTTCAGAATAGATAGCATGATGTGCAATTCTGGCTAAGTGGGCCACTGGACTTTCTGTAGTGAGGAAGACTGTGTATCAAAACTGGTATGGGGAATCAGAACAAAAAGAAGTCTTGAATTGTCCTGAAAACATTAATCTTAATTGTTCAGTATGTAGTGTACTAAGCAAGTCTGCTTGATGAGATGCAGGCTTAGCATTCATACAATTAAGGGAAAGGAACTGAGATTGGAGTGAGCTACCCAGTGCTGTGCAAGCAGAAACAGGGTAAAGCTTCCCAATAGCAAGGCACATGATTCAAAGCCTTTTCTGATGGCTTTAGTTAACAAAAAATTATATATATATACATATATGAAATATATATATATGTAAAAAAAGGCAATTAACCTGTTCCTCTGCTTCACTTCAGTTGTTTTAAGTGTTAGAAATACATCTTTTTCTGCCCTTAATCATTAGTCATCAATCTTTGGAATCCTTCCCAGGGCTTTACTGTCACTTCAGACCTAAACTTACCCTTCTGTTTCTGATGCAGATATACTTCTGGCCCCTGCTTTTGCATGTCTTCTGACTTCATATTTGTCCAGGAATGCTTGTGTGTGCACTGTGTCTATTCCTCAAACATTTGAGACTAGTGGTGCACATAAAGAAATATTCTTTCACTCTTCCTTGAAAGTAGTAAAGAAGTAAAAAGAAAAAAGAAGAAGATGGTTTGTTCTGTATATCTGGGTGGTTTCTTTGGTACATTTTAAATTTTTGATTGTGTACAGCTTTTAATGTGGTTGCTGAGAACTTATTTCTTGCATTAATTTTATCTTCCTCCTTCTAGTCCTATACCTTTTTTTACCCCTGTTTTCATGATCCTGTACACCTTCCCTGAAGTCTTAGTCCGATTATCTTGAGCAAGAAACACAAATAAAGGATTCAGATGTATGGTGTTTTGACATATATGGATTTTCTGGTTCAGCTGAAGCATTTTGAAATTTTGTATGTTTCTGGCAAGTGTAGTATTTGTTATTTATTCAAGCTCTGAATTTGTGGAGATGGATGCTTACTCCAGTGTGACTGGCTTGCTGAGACTCTTGTTAGACCTTATTGACAGTGACCAACGTATTTATCAGTGGACACTTTTTGGTATTGGAAGCTCAGAACTGTTTCATACAGGAGATTACCTCATGAACTGGGTTCATGCTGTTGACTTAGTTCTTCCACCTATTGGACACAGTGGGCAAGTGTCCTATAATACCAGGCTTTTGTAGTAGCATGCTTAGCCCAGTCAGAACAGTTTGAGGATATCTAATTAGGGACCTACTAGGTTATGTGAAACTTAGGAATGATAGTGCTTGATTTTTGTTCTCCTCTCATAGCTAGATAGTGCAGCCCGGGTAATAACTAAGCAGGAAATGAGTTATACAATATTGATTATAGAGAAGTTGGCTTGGAGAACACTCACAAGCGGGAACCATTTGGTTTTTGCCCCCCCTAGTACCTAGAGTGTGGTCTCACAAGCTTGCAGAGCATCACAAGGCCCTGGGATGCACAAGCTTCCTATGTTGTGTCCCATTAACTATGCCAGTCAAATACAGTAGAACTAGGAAATGCTTCATTTACTTATAGGAAGGTCAAATTTGTGTATATTCATTTGGGAGACTAAAAAAATTCCTCAAAGAGTATATAAGTTCTAGGAAATTTTGTATCTTTAAGAAGCTGCCTATAGACCTTTTTGTATGATTGTTGGGTGGCTAGAGCACTTGTCTAAATAGTGGAAACTTTGGATCAGGATATTCCTTCAATATGATGGATTTAAAACTGTAGATTGTTTGTCTATTGTAATTTTGGGCTGAAGAAATGTCAGGCTGAGCTGTTTGGTGCCTTTAAACATCTTTCTGTTGTTGTCCCATTGATTTGTAAAAGTCAGGAGGAACCAGAAGATGAATAACTAAAAAGAACTGGAGACTTTTAACCAGTGTTTGTAGTGATCACCTGAGTTGCAGAAAACCTGTAATTCCATGTATTGTTTCAGGATTAAGTCTTCTTTTATCCACTTATTTATTCAAGCCTCAATCTTCTCAGGGCTGTCAGGTCTATTTATTTTAGACTAGCATCCTAGCTGCTTGGCTATCTGTAGTGCCTAATGGAAGTTGTTACTCCTGGTCCTATCTTATTTGTCTTGTTTATTTTGAGGCCCTGTGTATATATACAGTACAAATATATGCACTTTGTATATAAGCACACATGTATACAGATACTTATGCATGCACATACATGTTTTTGAATATGATGTCATTAAACAAAATGTCCAGTGCAAACTGGACCTAAGACTAAAATCAGTAATGAGTTTCTGATGGTTAGTTCCTGTCTGTTGTCTTTGCTAAGCAGCAATTAAAATGGGAATGTAAAGCATGCAAGAGTAATTAGGAGATGGAGGAGGTCATAATGACTTTTAAAATTTTTTTGTACATATAGACTGGAACAGAAGTAGCAAATACCACAGATACGTGTTTTAAGAAAAAGTCCTAGACCAGTGATGCTTTATGAATAGAGTACCATGACTTTGAGCAAATTTGTTAAGTAACTTAGTTGTGGTGCCCGAGATGTGAGCAGTCATGGTAAGGAAAGAGCTCTTAGAAAATCAAACAAGCCTCACACAAAATAATTCCAGATAGTGTGTGCAAAGGAGAGATTCATGGGTATACTTTAAATAAAAAAAACCCTAAAACATAAAGTTGAGAGAGTTTTTATGACCTAACCCATTGTACACTTTTTTTTTTTTTAACCATTCTGTGTTGCTTAAGGCTATAGATCCAGGAAATACAGTGAGCCTGTGCAAAAGCTAACCCCTTCTAAAAGGAAAGCTCCCATCTCTTACCAGCTGATTTCCTTGCTTTTCTTATTTACTTTGTCCTAACTTCTGCTGTTTGTTGGTACCTTCTATGATTCAATTAAATTTGGTAACAGTAGGAAGAAGAAATCTTTCTGCTGGGTTAGTGAAGTAATTCATCTCACAAAAAACATCTAGTAAGTATTAGCACTACACTGTTAATGCAAGAAGAGGATAAAGTCATGTAAGCAAGTTGCATGACTATATCTTACTTATCCATGTAACCCAACCAATGGCCTTGCTCTCGTCTGGCATATAAAAAATATTAAATTGCTCAACTCTTTGTGGGACACAGCTGCAGTTTTAGATATTGCTTTATGATTTGAGGTTTTTTTTTCTCCACTTTATATTTTCTTACTAGAATCAAGAGAAAGGTAATACTAGGTTGCTACAAGCTGTATGTAACAGCTCTTTGAAGGCTGACTTTAGCCTTGGCCAGACAGAAGTCTTCTGGGACAGTCAATAATGGCCAAACTAATTACAGCACAGTATCTAAACCTCCTCAAAAAAACTCCCATGTAGGAGAATATCTTACTGTCCTTATGTATATTTTGTTCCTACACGTCTTCCATTCGAAAGTTTTGGTGGTTCTTAAGAGCCTGTCTGTACCAGCTTCTGGCAGCACAGAAATGCCCACTACCACTGTAGTGGTGGTTTGTTTTTTTTCTTCTTAAACCTCTTTAACCTTCTTTGCAACTTGTTGAGCATTGGAGAGGAGGTTTATATTCTGGAAATCCTTAAGCTATTGTAGAGGTAGTTTTCTCATATTTATCATAGAATAGTTAGGGTTGGAAAGGACCTTAAGATCATCTAATTCCAACCCCCCTGCCATGAGCAGGGACACCACACACTAAACGATGTCGCCCAAGGCTCTGTCCGGCCTGGCCTTGAACACCTCCAGGGTTGGAGCATTCACAACTTCCTTGGGCAACCTATTCCAGTGCCTCACCACCTTCACTGTGAAGAACTTCTTCCTTATATCTAACGTAAAGTTCCCCTGTTTAAGTTTAAAGCCATTACCCCTTGTCCTACCACTACAGTCCCTAATGAAGAGTCCCTCCCCAGCATCCTTGTAGGCCCCCTTCAGATACTGGAAGGCTGCTATGAGGTCTCCACGCAGTCTTCTCTTTTCTAGGCTGAACAGCCCCAATTTTCTCAGCCTGTCTTCATATGGGAGGTGCTCCAGTCCTCTTATCATCCTTATGGCCCTCCTCTGGACTTGCTCCAACAGCTCCATGTCCTTTTTATGTTGAGGACACCAGAACTGTTCTGTCATCAATTTTGATTGAACTTGAGTAGTCTACCTCTCACACTGTTTGGCTTTGCTACAAATTGCAGTAGAATTTTAAAGAAGGAGGTTGTATAACTATTCAGTTTCTCTTTGTATGTGATTCCTTCACTTGTTTCATTACACATCACTGTTAATACATTAATATGTAACTATTTTCTGTTTATGCAGAGTTTATTGAGATATCACAGTTTCAAATTCTTAAATCTGATTGCACTATTTATCAAGTAGTATTGCTTCTAGACATCTGGCAATGCGAGTGTGCTAGAACTGCTTTGCATTTCCTTGGGATATACTCTGGATTTCAGTGCTATTAAAACTGTACAAGTTAAATGAAAATTTTATGAAATAATCACTTTAAAAATAAAAAGTCGTATTTCTATGAGTTGCTCTAAAACTTTTATTTACTACTGTATATCCTCCTATGATTATCCTGGTATCAGTGAGCTAATTTAATTCTGGTTTTGATTCTTAGCATTGAGTCTAAATTTAAGCCTCAGGCCAAAATTCTGTGGATGGCAAAGTTCAGGTGAGAGAGTAATCTTTACCCACTGGGATTCAGTCTGATTGATTTGCTTTTTGGAAGGTTTCACCTTGGTGTTAAGCTGTGTTTTTCTTTTGTTTAGTCAATTGCACTAAGCCTACTGATAATTCTTGCTAGAGGAGAATCTCTTGTGCGTTTCTTGTGCCTGCTCTCATCTAATACTTGCAAGCAATCACAGTCATAAATTTTTTAGTACAGAAGGGAGTGTAATACTGTGTTTAGCTTCTTACTTAAAATAAGCTATAGATCTTTCTTGTACTAATTCTTGTCTGAAATCTGATAGCATTTCCTTTTTTTTTTTTTTTTTTTTTGGTTTTCAATTCTGAAAGCCTTTTTTTT